ACTGTCCTTTAATTCAAAGTAAGAAACGGGCTGGCTGACAAAGTTTACTTGTTTAATCAAGACAGGCTTCATTATGAAAAAAAAGGATGAGTTGAAAAAATAAAAGATTTTCCCATGGTGCCTTGCTCTGAGAGTGTTGCCTCTGACAACAAGTGCATCAGCCCATCTCTACACAGATGAGCAGTGACAAAGCAGAAAAAAAAAGAGTGAGGTAGGAAGGGAAGCAGGGAGGAGGTGAGGTGGGGGAGCATGTTGAAGCACAAGTAGAGGATAAAAAGGGAGAGCAGCCTCAGATCTGCAGTACAGCTTTGATCTGGTGGTCAGAGCTGCAGAGGCTTTGTTGTGGTGTGCTGATTTTGCTCATAAATGCTGCTGCATGTAACCATCACTGTGCTAATATTCCTCCTACAAACATTTTCAAAGCAGTGCTGACTTCAGACAAGACACCACATAGATACCAAACGATGGGACATTAAGAAAATCGGGAGTCTTAAGCACACTCTGGACCCCATAAAGGACAAATTAATGTAGAACACAATCACACACACACTTTACATTATTATTCTGTTAAAGGGTCAATTTTTTAAAAACACACACAAAAAAAAAAATCATATGTAGGGCAGCCTTATATATTTGCGTTATCCTTATTTTTATTAAGCTTCGGGAAACAATTTTCCCAAAAATTTAAGCACAACAAATATATAATTCTGCACTTTATAAATACCACTTCTCCCAGTGTACTCTGATGCATTTGTATTTGTCATAACTGTGTCAAAGATACTGATTGAACTGTAGGGGACGTTATGGAGGCTGCATTGGTGTGGATTGTACTCCATCAGACTGAATGGTCTCTCAAACACATTTTCTCCTCCCACTGATATAAAGGTAGGTTATCAGTCTCCTCATAAATATTTTATTGTATCTGTGCCTAATAAATTGGCACCTCGGTGGATAAACCTTGTCTTTGAACATGAACACACACACACACACACACCTTGATGGTGGCATCCTCAGAGGCTGTGACCATGACAGAGAACACGGGGTGGAATATGACACGCGTGACTGGGGCGCGGTGCCCACTCAGGGCGTATCTCTCTGGGGGACGGGGGATCCACTCCTTGGGGTCTCTCTTCTGACCCACTGATCCTCCATGTGTCATCTCCTCCTTCGCTTCATTCAACTTCGACTCCAGCTCCATCACCTGAGGAAGGGTGGTTAAGTCAAGGAGCCCAGGAGTCAGAAACGTAGACACTCTGATCCACCAGCACTTATCATAATAATATGTCATTTATGGATTTAGAAAAGAAACAGTAACTGTTGCACCGGTAGACTGGGTTTCTAAAACACAGATGAAATAAACTTTAGATCTACATTTTTCTAGGTAGATAAGGGAGTATGGTCCAACATGTAATGATAGCTACACTGTACAGCCACAAGATTACTCTGGCTTACACATTAGAATGTGCAGCATATATCAAGCATCTCAGGCAAATCAGCTAGTACACAAAGTTACCTTCTTCTGTAATCTGATGACTGAGGTCCATTTCTTTTCCAAAAGCCCTGCATACTTTTTATCTACCTCTTCATTCTAGGAAAAGGAGAAAAGACACAGATGTGGACAAAGTGATTCTTATTCATCTTAGTAGAGATTAAGGTACAGGGTTTTTTGTTTGTTTTGCAATTTGTTCTGACATTTGCATTTGTGTACACAACATCTCCCCTTACCATTTCTAACTCTGCCTCTTTCTTGAAGGTGGAATAGGCCTCCTCATATCCATTGGAACGCAGATAGTCAGCTATAGCCCGGTTTCTGAGAAAAAGTAGAAGGAAATTGATTTTTGAAAGGTTTCAGGTATGTACTCTTCACCAATTACAGATTAGGTCCTTGTAGATGCTAGCACTGTCAATTTTAATGGGTCAGGATCAGTGCAGTTTTATTTGATTATTCCAAAATTTGAGCAAAATGAACTGCATGTCAAAAGGCAATCTGTACAATATTAACTCCACCTTAACTGAAATGCCTGTTCCTCCTTAAAAAAAGATGAGACCACACCCTATTTAACAGATGGCAGCAATGAGGTTCAAGTTTTAAAGTTCCAACTTAAATGTCAGCAAATTTGAGCAAGTGCCAAAAGAAATTACAATCTTTCAGCGAAGAAAACATATGGACCAAGTCAATGGAAAACTGTTGTGTGCTGCTTGGAAACCAAAGACTCGCCACAAAGAACAACCAGTGAGGGTGGACAATGCCAGGACAGGGCAACCACAAGTCCATGGAAACAACCTTAAACCCACACGTAGGACTTGCCCACAGATAAACATTTGTAATATAAATGAGTGGAACAGCCCCTTTATGAAATGAAGGGCGAATAGTTCATGAGCAACAATACTAAATGTAGGCTGCAGTTCAGGGCTACTGTGAACTAACTGCTGATTACACGAGAACCAGAATTCCCACTAAAGTATCCAAATCAAATCATTTATAAACTCAGCATACTGCAAAAAATAAAATTTTGTTTTTCCTTCACTTACAAGAGCTTGATAAAAATCATATCTGAACTGAGCTGGGATACATGTGATCAGCCAGGCACAGAGCAACTCATGGCACCCAACCATCATTTTTTTAAAAGTTCCTCCTCCTTCCCCATCCCCTAATTCTTTGCTGATGTGGGCTATGAAATATTCACCAAGTGGCTATCAAATTAAGTTCACATCTCTTCATATATGCTCAGTGATTACAAATTTTTGTAAAGGAATGCACTTTCCTTTTCTGCACAACTTGTCCCCAACAGCTGGTTATATTCCCCAGCCTTCTATCAAGATGGGAAAACATGAGATGCACATCTGTGCTTGTAGACAAACTTCAAGGTACTGCTAAAAGTACAATTTACAAGCATTTAGTGCAAAAAGAGCACTAAATGCTTGTCTGCATGCCTATTCTTGTCTGCATGTGTAATGAGCCTGCACACCCACATATTTACATGTGCACACTCACAGTTCATCTCTTTGTCTCTGTGACAGCACCATGGTGGCTGCTGTGTTCTCCCTCTTGGGGGGAGATGAGGGTGAAGTGATGTGCTAGAGGAGTCTTTGTGGTATGTGTGGAGGGGGGGGGGTGTCTGATCCCTCAGTGATGTTCTTCCTTCAAAGACTCGGTGGTGGCAAAAATGGTGCCACGCAGAGGGAGGTGAACTGAAGGTTCTGCTGTCAGTCAATTATCAGGACAAGGCTCCAGGAACATTAGATATGGCCCTAATCTCACTCATTGATCAGACGTGCCCATCACCTGATGGAGACAGAAGTGAAAGAGAAGAGAGTTAGAAAAGCAGAAAAAGTGAACTTTTTCTATTCTGAATTTTAGGATATTGTGAAAATGCCAATAGAAGAGATAAACAGCACACACTGAAAAATCAAAACACACCACTCAGTGATAGTTAAGCTAATAAGGGCGTCCACCGCCTGATCTCGAGCACTGCTGACACCTGGGGCCACAGTTGTAATAAGCTGCTTAGCGGTTGGACCAGGCAACCTGTGTGTGTTTCTTAATGACAATAACCACGAGGCCTATATGTAGCTCACAGTGCAATGTGAAGAAGGGACTGGACATATCAAAAAGGCCAAATCCAGACATGGAGTGAGGACCTCAGGAGTAAGCTGCTGCATCATTTTTGTCCATTCCATCATCTGTTGATAGCTGCTGCCTCTAAACACAGAAGATTCCCTCAAAAAACAATACAGCAACAATTTCCAACTGGAAACTGGTTGTAACATAGATTTTTTTCTGCATGGCTTTCTGCTTCACAGATGAGCACTTCTTTTCAGTGGAAGTCTGACAGCCACAATGAACAATAGAACATTTAGGCAGGGATGTAGTGTCCTACAAACAACTTCTCTTCACTGCCTGCAAACATAATGAGTGCTCTGAGCAGCAATGTCTGTGTGGTTCAAAAACAGACATCTGACAAAGGGTGTGCCGAGATCTCGTGCCACAAGATTTTGTGGTATTAAAACATGACAATAGTTATCATAGAGGCAAAAGCTGTCTCTCATTATCAGTACATGATAGAACCAGAGTGGAGTGTGATGACAAAGTGACATACGTTCACATTAACGCAACTGAATCCTGTGTTTTAATGCATGGGGCTGCACTGATCAGGGGGTGAGAGGCTGCAGGGGGAGCCTTGTAGGTTTGATACAGCCACGTTGCGACAAGTCGATGTGACTGACTTCATTTACGTTTCCAGCCCATGTTTTGGTTAGCCAGTCTAACGTAGCCTACGCTACATTAGCGCCAATTCTACCACCAGTGTGTCTGCACTGATAGATAAAAAGAAAAAAAAAGTTTAACATCCAGTACTAATGAAAATGCACAGCGTGTCATTAGGGTGCATTAACTGCAGCCCAATCGTACCCCGTTACTGATTTGTCAACTCAGCGCCTTTACCAGATGATGTAACGGTCCATTGTGGTGCGGTGATGGTCAAAATAGCATATACAGTCACGCACAGCTTCAATTAGAAGTTAGAAGCTTATGCACAGTTCATGAACTAGCGAAGCTTGGTCCTGTGAGATGCGGAACCTTTGACGGACTGCTGTTTCCTGCGGTAAACCGTACTCATTTCCTGTTTTCTGTATTTGCACTGCGTTGTGCTTGCTTCCAGATTGTTTAGGAATTAAACTCACTATTTTCTAGGTTCATCTGAATTTTTGAGTGACAACATACGCTTGCACCACTTAAAGCACTTGTTTTGCAGAAGTTCTTGCTAACTACCAAATTTAACTTGCTACTTTAGGTCGGCTAGTTTAGAAGCTAGCTAAGCTAGTAGCTTAATCGAGAGCAATGGCTTCCCCCTCTTCCTCTCCTCCTTTCTCTTGCTCAGAGTGTCGCATGTTCAGTTATTCCTCTGCCTCCTTTAGCGATAATGGTACTTGTAATAAATGTCAGATGCTAGCAGCATTGGAGGCGAGGCTCACAGACTTAGAAGCGCTGCTCCGCACCATGGAGCTAGCTATGCCCAGGTAGCCGGTGTGGAGCCTCCTAAACGTAGCATAACCTGTTATGTATTCTCGTGCACAGTTACTTAGACGGACACCACGTCTCCAACACAAACGGGTTTATTCAGCCAAATTGTACACCTTCTCTATATCTCAGGCGCCAACGTACACACCCAGAATACCTTGCCCTGAACTACGGCAACCGTATGCGGACACTAACCCATAATACATTACATCTTCACCCCCCTTTTAACTGGGGCATCAACCGTCCCGCACTCTCACTTAACACAATAAAGTAATATTAGTGACTAACATATGCAATGTAATTGACCCAACCATGCCCCCACATACGAACCAATTTCAACTCCTTAATAAACATTTTCCTGCCTTGAACTCTTCAACAGTGCATAACACAACATTGGCATTATTAATACCACAACTACATCTTTCAACATTATGGTTCATAGCGCTGTGGCGCTTTTATGGTTCGCTGTGAGCGCCGCAGACCAGTGTCTGTCAGTGCTGGCTCTTCAGTGTCCTGCGCCTCCACTGGCTCCAGAGTAGTGTCTGTAAACCCCTCCGGCTCCGGAGAAGTCATGGCTCTCTCCATTCTGGGTCTTAATTGGTCAC